TTTATGAGTGTTTAATATTTTTTATGAGCGTTAAATATTTATTATTAATTTAATATATTTAATACAAATAGACAATAGGTTGTGCAAATGGCAAAATATGTATATTTTTTCAATATTTCTATTGAGAAATTGAAAATTAATCGTTGAAGTAGCGGTTGTAGTACAGTTTTTCAGTTTTTGTTTAGACGGTAAATGTAAGTCAAAAGGTTGAGAACCGTTGCCGTAGGGTTTCTTGTCGCAATCAAGTAAACCAAACCAGTAGTTAATATGATAGGATTGCATGTGTATAAATTAGAAGTGTTTAGATATATTGGTAATATGTGTATTTTTTGTAATATTAATTAAATGCATCTGAACTCTTGAACGCGTACGAGTTCGTAATAGATTGAATGCACACAAGACCGATGATCGCTTGATAAAATTTATTTTATGAAAAGAAACTCTTCACAGATCTGAAACTTTTCACAAAAATATTCGTACCTTTTTTCACAGTATCAGAGAGTGAATCAGTAGTTACACTTCAAATTACTAAGATTTTTTAAATTCAATGGCAGGCATTTGGTTATTCAGTACTGACTACTCCTAAGGTCAGAGGTGGTGAGCCTTTTATTGTGGAGGAACACGAGAACTTCGGTATTCCCCTAATCAATATACCGTCTGGCCGGCAGTTACTATGAATGTTAAACACAAGGAAATGCGAAGCGCATCTAAAAAGGCAAAGCTCTCACGGGTACCTCAATACTACGAAATTGCTCTCAAGAACTGAAAGCAGATGCTTTCTGAGGTCCTACGTAGTTTTCACATGGCCGCCGAGAAATCTCAGTACTTCTTGAAATTACTGGAAAGCATATGGGTGCTGATACAGTTTAGCTACTTATGGAATAAATTATAGTTTTTTAATTACGATACACATTACGGTAACACAGGGACAGAACAAAAATGTCGACAATTGGTCGCCAAATTTGGCGATAAAAATTAGTCTCCAAAACAGTCTCCAGCTTGGTGATACCTCGCCAAGTTAGCGAGATAGTCATTTACTCAATGTTAAATAGACTTGCCCTTGTATTCTTACTTTTCCGGCAAAGCGTCACCACTTTAGATTTTCATGTTACATTATACAAAAAAAAAAAAAAAAAAAAAAAAGTACTACAGTTTTACACATAATTTCACTAAAATTATTTACTTAGATATAAATTCGTAACAGTATTTATTGGTCTTCAATAATAACAGAACTTAAGTACAATTGTTATTTATTTATAACTTTGAATAATAGGAAATGAAAAGGCCTAATCACAGAGAATTGTGTCTACTCGACACTGTAATACTGGTACACAATGTTTATAGTTCTATTTTTAGCGCTCAATACATTTTATGTGTATTTCATAACTTGTATTTAATACATCTGGATTCAGGTGAAATGTATTCGTTCATATAAGGATGCTATTTGTATTATACAAGCAATGCATCGCATAAGTTACCTGCATTTAGTGTACTGAAAGAAGTATATCAGATATTTTCTTATTTATTATACATAACAGTGCTTATTTTATTTAATGTACAGAGTGTTGTTGCATATAATGTATTTGTAAGTATGCGCAACAGTTAACCAATGCCCACCAATCGTGAGTCGTTGAGTGTGTGTGATTATGGCAAAGCTTCGAGGGCTATCTGCCTAAGAGGAGGGATGCCTTCGTGGAGGACTTTCTAAGGGAAACTGGCTCGTATACACGTTACACATGGGAAAAACCACGAAAACCCCATTCTAGGGATTCGAGCCAGCCCGTTCTAGGGATTCGAACCTCGGACCGAACTACCAGTGTTCAGCGACTTTACCGCTCGGCCGCTGGTGGGCCGTGAGTCGTTGAACACCAGTAGTTCGACCCAGTTTCAAATCTCGGCGAATGGCTTGGCTGGTTGCATGGGAGTTTTCAAGGTTTCTTCATGTTTAACGTAGATACAAGGCAGTATCTCTTTCAAAGCCCTTTGCGAAGGCTTTGCTTGCTGGACACCCTTGTGTGCATCGTAAAAAAATATTACCAGCATTGTGTATTTTAAATACTTTTGTACTTTCATTCATTGAACTCTCTCTGTATTTCTAGTGAATCTTGATGTTAGACTTGAATGCATTTTTAATTGAGGTAATTTTACTCAGCGTGATACTGTATCTTTAATATCACATAAATTGAATATGATCAGATGCGATAAATTAACACGGATTCAAATTTCAGTGTCATTCATGATATAGTGTTTTCTTTTTATGCGTTATCACGTTTTTTATACATACTGGATTAGTTCAAGTGTATGCGATATTGTATAATTGTATTTTACTTAATACTTTGTTGTACCCACTATACTCAGCTAAACACCTACAGGCAAACGAGTTAAGTCAGTCCTGTACCTCTGGTGCTCAGGTCTTTGGACTAACAGGTTAGTTTAGGTTAGGTTATTTAATTACGGCAAAGCCTCGAGGGCTATCTGCCTAAGAGGAGGGATGCCTTCGTGGAGAACTTTCTAAGGGAAACTGGCCCGTATACACGTTACACATGGGGGAAAACCAGGAAAACACCCATGCAGCCTGCAGCCAGCCCTTTCGCGGGATTCGAACCTCGGAACGAATTACCAGTGTTCAGCTACTTTACCGCTCGGCCGCTAGTGGGCACTTTGGACTAACAGAGGCTGCCTTTTGTCCTCCGTCTATGTATTTGCTCGAAATGTAACAATGAGCAGGCTTCTCCGGCACATATCCTTCGGTGTCTGACTTCATCATGCGACGACCTGGTTAAGTTTCGTATGCTAGTCTATGACTTTTTGAAGGTGAATAAACTCGTTGATCTCCTCTAGCAAAAGCTGGACCTGAGGATTAGTAACATCTTTATTGTAGCACATGACATGTTTTGATGTTTTTTACTTTTATAAAAACTCAGATGTAAATTCTAAAATGATATTTAAAGATTTAGGAATCATTTTAAATCAAAGACTCACATGGTCTAACCACATTAAAAGTGTCAAGAGCAAGGCCATTGGCATCAGGTGCAGATTTCTCCCTGTCATTGGAAAATACTCAAATCTTAGCTTGCGTGCCAAAAGACATGTCTATACCACCCGAATTCGACCAATACTTTGCTATATGTTGCTCCTGCTTGGAACACGGTTACTCAAACTCAGCTTCATCAGTTGCAAGTTGTACAGAACAAATTTCTGCGCATTATTACTGACTCCCACTATCTTATTCGTAATGACTTATACATAGAATAGAGATTTAAAACTTGAGACAATTCCAGGTTATATCAGAAGATGCAATGAAAAATTCTTCAACAAAGCTGTGCAGTGTGACTTCGTAAATTACTCTCAAGTTTTTAATTATGAAATTCTCTTCGAAGATCGAAGCTTCAAGCCATTGGCAGCACACACCTTCATGGGAGAAGATGACAACTTTAACAACTTTGGAAATTGTGTTAGCTATTGCTGTGATGTAATTCGCATTGTTGTGTTGTAACTTTATAGCCTAGGTTGTTGCAGAATTTCTGTAGTGAATTGTGTTGTATCGTTGTATTGAATTGTGTTGTATTTAGTTGTATTGAAGATTTTGAGTTTGTCATTGAAACCATTGCTGTAGTGTATTTTTCTCATATTGTTGTCAATGAACCTGCATTGTCTTGGATTCTTCTTGAAAACTCTGATCGCTCGTCACGTTTTGAGAACTTGTCTGATTAGATTGACTTGCTCATTTTGGTACTTTTTTTCTTCCTCTTTTCTCCGTTTTCTCTTCTGAGATTGCTTCCACGTCCGGATTTCATTATGTCATGTGCCCCAGGGCTTTATTTCAGGAACCGCCAACGTTGCTCTTCGCAATAGTTCGGTCAATTATCGAGTCTAAATCTAAAATGATATGCACAACAACTAGACCCATATAGTTTTTTAATGATTCAATAACTGCTATATAGACTGCCATCTCAGCCCCTGGCCATGGTTTCGAGTTTCGACGGAAACAGAATCATCTACTGAAAGGCACCAAACCTTTTCGGTTCACTTTATGCAACCATGGACAGCAGTTTCTTCAGTGATGAAAATGTTGTTATTTGATAAGCAGCGCATTATAATGCCGGTTTCACAATTCACAACAATCAAATTCACAAAACGTGATCCTGTCCATTACTATGCAATTAAAAATTCCTGTTTCTTATCTTTCTTGTAACAAAAAGGAAATTTTAAAAGCCTACAAATAAGTGATAGTGGTGTAAAGAAGTGATAGTGGTAATAGGAAAGGGAACGGAAGTATTATTGTACAATGGAGAACAATACAACAAAAGGATTATATCACCATATTGATGCATTTAGGAAGCAAAAACTAAAATGTTTCAGCTGAGAAACTTTACACTACTTAAAGCCAAAACTGTAGACAAATCAAATAACTTGTGCAAAACCTTTAACATTAGCAAAACAGTAATATGGGAGTCAGAGCACAAGAAGTTTGAAGAATTATTTTATTACTTTCCCTCTCTATTATATTACTGTTTTCTAAAGATGTAATCTGAGAATTCGATAAAATTGCTGACATATAAGGATAAAATTGCTGACATATAAAAATTTACATATAACAATTCGATAAAATTGCTGACATATAAGGTGCAAACATACAAAATACTGTGAGGGTAGTGATAAAACTTTGAAATTAATTTTTTTACTCCTTACTAATTATTTTGCAAAACATTGCTTAGAATTTATAAATATAAGAAACGTAGTTACATGAATTGCTGATGTATTATATATAACAAACTGAAATAGATAAAAACATAGTCGTAATTATTATACAACTGTTATTTTTGTATTCGGAATATACACTGTTGTTTCAAATATGCACATCAGTGACATCATAAGTGTTTCTTTAAGGCCAGTTTTATGTTACGACGTTAAAATTACCGAAATATGAAAATAAGTAACATTTTCATGTTTCATGTCAGTGATATTTCAGAAGGAAGTGCAATGAAACCAAGAAAAAGGAAGGATATTAAACTCCATTTATTTAAACATTAAAACTTGAAAGCATCACTTATAATGCAATTATTTGTGTATGCCTTAGCTTTGTTTATTATTTTATTATCATTGACAGTAGATTAGGTGGTCCACTGTAATGAGGTTGCTGACATATAGGCCTTGTCAATATATTAAACATCCTACTTTCTTTCTCCTGTAATAATGGGAACGTATGGGGGTGACTCATGCATGTGACAAGGGGTAAGGTTTTATCGCTTTGTGTTTGAAGAGGAAGGGGATATACTAATTTCTCTTTCCTTTTCATTGTAATCATTGGTGTAATGTCAGATGAAGGAAGTATTGGATTGCTCGTAGACGTCACCAAGGGCATGCAAATTAATGGACTTGGACTGTGCATGGTATTGCTTACGTGTTTGCAACTGCTGTTAGGTTTACATGGATGCAAGAAGAGTTCGAAGTTTTGTTTTTGATTATTTTGTTGATGCGAATGCTTATAATTTGTCTCAGAGATAGATACAGGCTCTATGCCAAAATTCTCCGGTACCGTTTTTATTGGTACATAGGCAAGAGTATCACCTGCTGCAGAAGGAACCATATGGCAGACAAAGGGATGCCTAATTTTATCTTCTTGGCAAACTCCATGAACTATTTGCTTCTTTTCTGTAACTGGATGCAAGCATTCATTTTGCGGGTATATGTGGAGAGATACCTTATCACAGGTTCCTTGAATTCTGTGGATGAGAAAATGAACATTATTTTATAATTTAACGTTTCTTAAAAAAAATTAAAAGTAGTAAAAATTGTGTTCTTTCGAATTAGCTGACAGCTTCAGGAAAGTCAAGAAGGATTTAGCACCAGGGACTTTTTTTTTCCTTATCGTCTGCATGTATGTCGTGACGTCTGTATTTCGTGATGCATGTTTAAGTATCCACGTAACTCAAAACCAATTAATTAACTGTTGAAAGTTCAAAATTTTATATATGGAACTCCTATAATATCTAGCATCTCTCTTTTCTATTGCAACTGGCAGAAACAAACATATATATAGAGAGCAATGGAGCTACAGAAAAGGATTTATTCAAAAAAAAAAAAAAAAAAAAAAAAAAAATTTTCGGAAATACTAATATTCTTTTATAAAAAATTTTTTCGCATTGAACAAGAGCTTCAATGGTCTGTTTCGACGAAACGCGTAATGGTATTTAGCCTATTTCGTAGAACAGTTTTTTTACCTTGAAAAGCCAACTGAGAGTACGAGTGGGCTAATTAACCATTTTCCGCTATTTAATTATTGTTTTTGTAGCTTGTTTTTGATGCTTTTTGTGTGTTCATTCTATTTTTTTAATTTTATTTTAATTTTTATGTATAGGCATTTTTTATATATTGGCAATTTTTAATATTAATTTTTTATGTATAGGCATTTTATATATTGACATTTATAATCCATGTTTTTTTGTAACTTCCTTATATATATATATATTTTTTTTCCGTCGATCTATTTTTCATGTACTAACTTTCATGTGAGTTAACAACGGTCAGATTCATTAATTTTTTTTCGTGCATTAGCAAGTCTTCCGCACTAAAATTTGGCAGTTTTATAGCGCGTATACAGTTTTTCCAGTTTTACCAGACAAATTTCTTATTATTTATGTAGTACTATGTTACAACATTTCGTGGAGATACAGCTCCTGGTAACTTTTTAGCAAGGTAGCTGCAATGTTCCTACCTATTACTATTCTTTCAAATCTTTTTGCAGCATTATGCGCAAAAGTTTTAGAGACCAGATAGGTCTTACGTCTAATTACCAGTTAGCTTTACATTTTCTTTTTCAATTTATATATATATATTGAATTAATATTACATATATATTGAATAATTAATTGAATAATAAATTACAATTAATTGAAATTAATTGAAATCGAAATAAATTTCCTAATACTTGTGCTCTGAATGAAGTAACTCAGAAGTATGAAATTTAATTCCGAAAATAATATTTTTAAAAGGAGTTTGAATTTAAATCATGAAAAATAGAAATGCAAACTTCTAATATGAAAATTAATAAACCAATTAAATATCGTCATTGCTTTAGTAAAATAAATTACTATTATATATTATATATATATACATATTTAATAACAAAACAATTTTTTAAAAACAAAATGAATTTCAATTTTTGGTCTTTGTGAAAAATTAGTTCTAAATTTCTTACTTGATGTCTTTACTGATATATATATATATATATATATATATATATATAATATAAATACCCATTCTCTTATATGGCCTTTATTTTCGCAATCGTTGGTCATCTATATACTTCTAGTTACAGAAGTGTTTTAAATGAGGCAAATATTCATGCTTTTGCAACAACAAATTAAAAAAAATTAATTTTTCACAAGAAAATCTAACTAAATAATGTGGTCTCGGAGTTCCTATACTTATATTAGGGAAAGTTTTATACTTTTTATGACAAAAAATTAAAAGAAGTTTGACATCCGTATGACAAAGTTGATCGGGATATTCAGTTTCAAAATTTGCAATTTTTTGATGTCATTTTCAATTCGCCTTAAGAGATCGATTGATTATGTTAGTATGTAAGGATATTAAGTTTTACTAACATTTATTTTATTTTAAAACTTTACTGTCTCCTTTTATTTTCCACTTCCGGCCAGAATAAAAGCGGCTAGTTTTAGTTATGAAAATTGGGCTTGCAAACAAAGTATTTAAGTTGTGGCTTTTAGCCAAGAAGGAATTAGAGAGAGAGAGAGAGAGACTTCTCGCCACCTTACTTTATGCCAGCTTTTCAGTCAGTTGCTGTCCGCCTTTAAGGCCAGAGTTTAGTCCTCTTGATACTGAAGTCGTATTGTAGGTTTCCCGCATTCTGTGTACTACATACCTCAAGACATTTTGTTCTCAAGACATTCATAAAAGGCCAATCTTCGCGTTACTAGTCTTTGTAAAGTGTTTGAGTTTAGCTCTTATTTAAATTTAGTTAGTTTGTAGTTCTTATTTTTACCGTTTAGATCATAAGTACTGGTCTTTGTATCCCTAAGTGCGGGATTAGCTGTAAACTATGAAGAATAAAGGGTAGTTAAACCCTTCCCACTTGTACTGTATTTTCTACACTTTCAGGAACATAGCTTTGAGTAAACACCCTGTTCTTACTCAGGACTCTAGTTATGTTCGCAAAGGCAATAAGAAGAAATAGTAGGCCTGATAAGTATACTTGATAACAAACTTACATACTCGAATGCTGAAAAAGCAGAAGTTTTCGCAAACCATCTATATAACCAATTTTCGCCGCAAACCGTCTATAAAACCCAGTGATTCCGCTTTTATTGATGAAATTAATTTTTCTGTCGACTCAGGGCTAAGCAATTAACTACTCCACGGATAACCACTTAAAGCTCACAAAACCTAAAGGAATATCTCAAGTAATCAAAAATCTCAAAGTTAAAAAAGCTTCTGGAATTAATAAAATTACCAACCTCGTGTTAAGAAACCTACCAATGAACTGCATTACAAAAATTACGAGTGTGATCAACGCCAGCGTTTCAAAATCCTACTTTCCCATCCCATGGGAAACAGCTATTGTTATTTTAATTCAAAAACCAAAAACAGATTGTACAAAACCTAAAAGTTACAGACCGAGTTTGGCATTATGGACTTTTATATAAGCTGAACTTTGCGAAAGAGTTTGTCAAACTTGTTCGCTCTTTCCTAGGTCAAAGAACTTTCATCGTCAAACAAGGTAAAGACTTTTCATCTCCTCGACCAATCAGAGTAGGTATTCTCCAGGGTTCGATCCTTGGCCCGATTCTTTATCTGTACTATGCTTACGACATTCCCAAACCAGGAGCAGATGATAACTCATTCCTCGCATACTACGCGGATGATACCGTGATTGCTATAAAGTCTGTAAATGTCAAATTTGCACTTAACAAGCTCCAAAACAAGATCACGGATATTGAGTTCTGCACGCAATGGAGAATTAGCATAAATGTTGCAAAATCCCAACTTATCATTATTCAGAGACATAAAATTAAAAAACAACTAGAATGTGACATCAAACTCTCCGATGAAACTGTGCCAAGGGTAAAAACAGTCAACTATCTTGGAATTATCCTAAATCAAAAGCAAACATGGACGGATCATATTCAGAATATAAGAAGAAAAGTGAATAACATAATCCACAGTTTATATCTCCTGCTTGGTAGAAATTCAACCCTAAGTCTGAAATGCAAACGTCATATTTACGTCTCGGTTATCAGACCGGTTATTACTTATGCATCACCAGCATGGGCTGCCCACACACCAGCCAACGAAAAAATTCTGTAGACCCTTCAAAATAGGGTGTTAAGAATAATCACAAACGCACATTTCGTAGTAAGCACGGACATTCTGCACCGAGATCTTAAGATCTCGAGAATGCATACACTACTTAATGATCTAAATGACAGATTTTTCACCAAGGCTATAAATTGCCGGACTGTCAACTATTCAGAAATTTTCGGTTATGAGATTCTTGACAACAAAAAATTACTTCGACCTTTCGCCGCCCATTTACTGGCAAATGAAAACTTTGTCACATAAATTAAAGCCTGCTGGATATTTTATACATACGTATCTATATATAATGTACTATATAGTTTTTCATTCTATCATTTATTTGTAATCGTTTTCAACTGTTTTAGTATTTGTTTGACGTTCTTTGCCAGAGCTTCAGTTTCTCCTGAGCGAAGGCATCGACAACCCCTTCTTCTCCCGGACTCAAGTCACCGTTCCACGGACACAATACCCTTCACGTAGATTACAATCTCAATTGCCGCTCTCACGGCATTATTTCAGCAGAGCTGGTAACGTCGTACGATAAACCGGCAATAATTCATTATTGGTATTGGTAAAGTATACTTCGAGAAGATAAGTTTAAATGAAGTGCAGCAAAAATGTATTTAATTTAATACGCCTAACGATGAAATCATCCAGTATCCGGATAAAAATTTTTATCCTTATAAATATCTGAATAGTACTAACATTTTTACAAAGTTTTCATAGTGACATATGCTTACTCATTTTTGCTTGAGTCACCCTCCAAGTGAACGTATAGTTTCCTCTACGTCACTCTCTGGTTATTGTTTTTGTCTCTTGTGTCTCTTGTGTTTTTGTCTCTTGTCTCTTCTTATTACCTTTCGCTGTGGGTTATGTTAACATCAAGCAGAGCAATTTATTTACCTAGTACTTTTTTTTTTTTTTTTTTTACAAAAAGAGGATGCAATTTCTTAGATTTAAAGAACTGAATAATGCTCATATTGTTATTAAGTCTACTGATCTGAAGGCAGGCCCATGAATTCATCGTGGCCAAGAGGCAGAGCGTAGAGCTAGTTACTCTCGTTGGGTCCTTATCATTGATAACATTAATTCGCTCAGCTGTCAGCTCTGTCCGACTTTTGATGAAAAACACATCGGGTACAGATCCAGTGATCTCCCGTCCACTCTTTTCATACCATAGCTCCACTGGAGAAATTTCGACTCATGTAATTCTAAGTGTCCCTATTTGAAAGACACTATATGTTTGAAAAACACTATGTTCAAAGATATCTGTCGGCATAGCTAACCACCAAAATATCTTCAAGTGTGTCTTCCATTTGAATTTCAGTTGTTAATTAAATATAATTTTATTTCTGTTTCAGATATATTATTGAGCTGGTATTTTTGAACTGTCGCCAAGATTGTTAATTTCCAGTTTATAACTATATTTTGCGATTTATCGTTTACTTCTGTCCAACAAGCAAGTACCAAGGAGAAATAACAGTTAATCTTATTGTACAAATTTAATTTGCATTTTTATATTCTAACGCATTCGTGTGATAATTAAAATGTAACTTTATTAATATAAATATGCATTGAAACTCTAAATGCCTGTTTGTAGCAACTGAAAGAAAAATTTTGCATACAAGTAACGTTTTCAACAGAAATAACCTAATTTCAAACAGATATAATTTCTTTGAGAAAATCTTCAGTTCATAAGTTTTACTCAAATGATTGTGAAACTTTGCGTACCTGAGCACTTTCGGTTGAATGTTCGTTGGATGTAGTTCAGATATTCTCATTTCCTTCTTGAGTGCTTCTTTCCATAGCGCATGATTTGCACACGCTGCCATCCTATGAAAACGAAGAAATATTGAATTACTAATATGATCAGGAAAAAAAAATATATTTAGATCTCAGAAAACATCTAAAATTTTAACTAGCAATTTGAAAAAAAATTTAAATGACTTATTGAAGAATATCACATATGCTGAAGTCCTATTCCATGCAAATCAAAGATTATATATAAGCAGTTTTGGCAAATGTTTTCATTCGTTTATGATTTATGGTCACTGCAGATGCGGTTTATGCAACGGATTGTTATCTTTTTGCTTCTGTTAAAATTTACTTTTTATTGCAGATATTGAAATGATTTATGTATTAGGAGGTTCCGCAAAATTTGCTTATTAATTTATGCGTTTATATATTACGCTATTGGCCCACCGATAGCTGAATTGTTAAGAACGTCGAATACGGATCGTTAGACTTGGGTTCGAACCCAGGCGAAAGGGTCACATGTTTGGGTTTCGTAGTTTTCCGCATGAGTAATGTGAATACGAGCACGTTTCTTACTTAAGAAATGAGGTTTTTAAAACGTAAAACTACGGAGTAGGTGAGCTTTTTCCTAAACTTCACACTAAACCTGATGTCAAATCTGCTTATAAAAGTTGTGAATTTTTTCCCAACATTCGCCCAAGAAAATCTGAAGTTAAATCAACACCAGAGTTGACTAAAATTCTCGCTAAAAACGATTATAATCTCAGGAATGCATCCTCATATATCAGAGCTACTGCGCGTGCGTCAGCTACTCATGTTGAGATGATGGACTGATGGAAGATTTATTTTCTGGTTCGCAGTTAAATAAAGTCCTGAATTTTTCAGTAAATTACTGAAGTTTGCTGAACTCTTTAAAAACAGGAATTCGCAAGAAGACAAATTACAACTTGCATTGTACTTTAGTGATATGCAAGAAAATCTGTAACTCTCTTTTCAGGTTTTTCAGAACGATGAATGGTCTAACTCTCCCAGGGCAAAATAGATGGCGCCACTTCTCGAGCTCGTTACGGCTCCCCTTTCTTCATGATGTGTAATTTTTAGATTATGTAATTTTCTACTTTTAGCTCCCTAGCGCATCTGCATTGTATTGAGCAAGCAAAAAGCTAGTTTGTACACTAGCTAAACGCGGCATAATAAAGTCTCATGTCTCAGTAGGTTCAGAAGCGTAGGTAGGGTTTTTAGCGCCCGGGGACAACTGAAGATTTTGCGCCCTTTTCTCTGTGCCAAGAACGGAAAACATTTCATTCTAAAATTTCGTAACACCAATTTGGCGCCCCCTGAATGCTGCGCCCTTTGACAGATGTCCCCCCTTGCCCCACCCTAGCTACGCCACTGAGTAGGTTCAACCGACAGATAGTACTATAATTAATGGAGTCGCGATCGAAGTCAGAAAAATATATACGTATGGCAAGTGTGTATGGATGTATGAGTTTATGTATGCAATGTATATAAATATGTATCTATGTATTATGTGCGTATATACACGTACACATATGCGGATATACATCCATACACACGCGCATACATACTTACATTTCTGAATCCGATTCCAAAGAGTACCACTAATGGTAACAAGGAATGAAACCAATACCTATAAAAAGGAAAACTAACACATAATAAAAATTCTAAATAAAAAAAGTAATTATATGTGGTAGGAAGGATTCTATGTTCTTAGGAAGTCAGAACAGGAAACCTGACCCGTCCGGTTAAGTGTTAGCATGATTTTCAAAGCACTTCTTGTTTGTTGTTTCCTTTGGAGTCTTTGGTTTGCTTAAGTACCTGCGTTTTATCGTTCCCCTTTCTAGCGGGGCAATAACCGTCTACCATATGGGACACTCTCTGGCTAATGAAAGACAGAAAGTATTTCAACGGTAGTACGAGCGAAGAGCTGTGATATGTACACATATCCAGAATGAGACTAGAAGGAATTTTAAGGAAGATTTTAAAAAGAACTATTCAAATTTGAAAGATTTTGCAGAGAAATAATGAAAATTGTAAATACGAACAAAGACAAAATTGGAATTCGGTTATGAGACTCAGATTTTGGACTTTTTGTTTTTTCTAGCCAGTCCCATTTTTACTTCCTTGTACGAAGTAAAGAGGAAGTATTGTAATCGCGAAAAGTTTCAGGCAGCATATTTCAACGAAAATATCCCATTTTGACCTCTTTCAAATGCAATTTAACGATGTATTTCCGTGATATCTGTATGTAAGGACAGAATAAAACACTCTTTTCCTCCAAAAAAATTATAAAACTGCTTTAAAATGAATTCTGAAGAGAATTTTTCGTGGCGTCTGTACGAACGTATGTACGTATCTCGCATAACTCAGAAACGAGTAGCCTCAGAACGTTGAAATTTTGTATATAGGGATGCTATAACATGTAGATGTGCACCTCGTATTTTGGTTGCAATCGGCCGCACCAAATATATATAAATATATTTATATATATATTCACTCTGTTACCCGGCTGAGTGATCTCAGTTTCTTTACTCTTATATGTTTGTAAATTGTACATTTTTTGCTTTAAAAATGATTGAATTATGTTGTTCTTATCTTCCGGTTGAGGTTTTTATGCCTTTAGTAAATCTGTATGCAATATTTTTAAAATTATCAACAATTTTAAAGTTGTTTAAGTGCTGCTAAGCCTAGCAATTTTTTTTTATGGCACCATGCTTTTTACATTTGAACAGCGAGGATTGTGTTGAAATAGCTTGAAAACAAGAAATCTTTATTATTTTGCAAAATACTTCCCTTTTATTTTTCAGATTTTAAGATTTATTGTAAATTAAAGTTTTTATATTACAGTTGATTATAATTAAAGTTTAAGTTTCAAAACGCTATAAAAAAAGAACCACTGATGAAAATGATGTGAAATTTGAAAGGAATGTTATTGAAGAAGGCGGAAAGCGTATGGCAGAAGAAAAAATTTTAGTTTCAAAAGTTAGCAACAGATGGCGCTGTAAGCGGCAGAATCACGACGAGAAACGAGAAATGATTCGTAAAACAACGGCTAAGGTGGAAGTTACACACATTAAAACGCATTGACAAATTAGAATTGTTGAATAATTTTATTTGCATGACTGTACATATCACATCGAAAGGGACAAATCGGTTTCAAGAGTTTTGCGGCGACATACCGCATAAGAACCATTCATCAAAGAAGTTCGGAACTGTCGCGAGACTGGCAAAAACATGTTCAATATGGTGTCCACCGTTGTGTGCAACAAGTTGAAAGCGACAAACAGCATGTTCCACAACGGATCGCAGTGTCTCCGGGGTGATGTTCAGAATGTGTTGCGAAATGCGTGCCTTTAATTCCGCTAAATTTGCAATTGGAGCACGGAACACAACATCCTTCAGATATCCCCACAGCCAGAAATCACACGGAGTAAGATCAGGCGATCGGGACGGCCAGGCTGTAGGGAAATGACGGCTGATAATTCGAGCATTTCCGAAATGGCGCCTCAGCAGCTGCTTCACGGGATGTGCAATGTGCGGAGGAGCGCCATCTTGCATAAAAATGATTTCATCCACACATCCACGCTGTTGCAGAGCTGGAATCACGTGGTTGCGCAAAAGAGACGCATACCTCTGACCAGTGACGGTTGCGGTAACAGGACCGGAAGCACCCGTCTGCTCGAAAAAATATGGTTGTAGGATGAATGATGCCGTAAAGCCACACCATACCGTGACCTTTTCAGGATGAAGTGGTACGGGGTGCGTTGCCAGTGGATTTTCTGTTGCCCATATTCGACAATTCTGGGTATTCACGTATCCTGTCAGATGGAAATGGGCTTCATCTGTCCACAAAATTTTCCACGGCCATTCATTATCCACTTCCATGCGAGCCAGGAATTCTAACGCAAACGTCTCCCTAGCTGTCAGGTCAGACGGAAGCAACTCCTGCACATGGCCAATTTTGTACGGATAGCATTGCAGGATGTTTCGTACAATTTTCAGCACCGTGCTCGTAGGCCTGTCCAATGTTCGGGCAATTCCTCGTGCACTGCACGGTTGCACACCACACCGGCCGACCCCTCCTGTAATGCTGTGGCCACTTCTTCAACTACCGTCGAATGCACTCGTTTTCTCCCTCTACCAGATTGCACATCAAACGAACCTGTCGTTTCGAATTTTTGCATCATTTTCTTTAGACCTACGACACTCATTGGACCAACGCCTTCTTTTATACCCTTCAGTGTCCTGAATTTTTGCAGAGCTACTCTTGCACAATCATCATTCTTGTAATACAGCTTTACCAGCAGAGCGCGGTCCTGCAGTGAAACACCCATGGCGAACGTCTGAGACGCGAAATGAGGAACAGCCTGGTACCTGGCGGCTTTATAACACTGAAATTTAACTAACATTTTAATTTACGTCTTCTTCCGCTTGCAGCGCCATCTGTTGCTAACTTTTGAAACTAAATTTTTTCTTCTGCCATACGCTTTCCGCCTTCTTCAATAACATTCCTTTCAAATTTGACGTCATTTTCATGAGTGGTTCTTTTTTTATAGCGTTTTGAAACTTAAACTTTAATTATATCACCCTGTATTTTGCTTTCCAAGTAGGAATTAAGAAAAAATACCTTGTCTGAAAACGTTCCTTTTTTGTTTTTTTCTATTTCTTTTTTTTACTTATTATCTATTGATGAATTGGCAGATAGATTTTAAATGATATAATTTTTGCTTTGTTAAATAGACGAAAATTACTGTTGTAAACCTAGCGCCAGAGTGTCGCTATGGTAAACAAAGTGAATTTTAAAGAATGCATTTATTCTATTGTGGTTTATGCGCTGTCGGCGAAGTAGGTTTAATTCAATCCCATACGTTTAAATGAAATGCAAGAAAAAATGCGTATAATTTAATATTCCGTGCAAGGAAGTCATGTGGTGTACACATTAGATTTTTTGATTATACGGCCGGCTAGGAGGATCGGGGCTGTGCCCTTATAATGATAATGATAATGATCCAGAATGAGACTGTTTTGAAGGGGATACAAACCAGATATCGGGCAATATTTCAAAATTTGGTTTGTCTCGTTACTGATTTCTTTCTCTTCTGCCTAATATTTGTGCAAAGAGATAAGAGTATTTTGCAAATTAAGATCTTTGAGTCAATGTTTAGGAAAGCAACTACATGTTTTCAGAATTTGACTGGTCTTGCATTCTTTCTTGGTCAACATAGAATTTCCGTATCTTAGCTACGACAGATATTTTATAATTTATCATAATTCGAAGCCTAAAGGACCTTAGTAGTACTGTACAAATTGATAATAATTTATCAATTAAAATTCTTAAACCAATGCTTATAAAAATGTGGTATAAAATCTGAGAGAATAACAGAAACATAACAAAATACACTCTCATTAAAAATAAAGCTTCCTTCATTCCTGCGCTTTAATACAGGTATTTAGTTTTCCGATAAAAATGCTGAAGTTACTTTTTAATAAATTTAATTATTTTCATAGTTGTTACTTTAATTTAATAATTTAATAAACTGTATTACTTCAAATACTAATTCCAGCTAAATAATTAACTAATCATACTATTTAAAATACTTAATCTAGTCAAATTAAAAAGTAAAACTTGAGAAATAAACAATTGTTAAAATGTGACTATTTGCTGATAACTTAAAACTTTTGGAAGATTATAAATCAAACTTACGCGTAGAAACAGGCTGCTTTTGACTGTATGCACTGCAACTACCTTATTTTTTTTCACAAATTTTGAAGTCGTTCTCTTGTTTAAAATCAACTAGTGTAGTAAATTGTCTGACTAATAAGCCATAATTGCTTTCTGTTCCGTTTTCACGAGCTTATCTTTCAACGAAAATAATTATTGCCAGTAGAGTTTGCTTAAATTATACATATTTTTAGATTTTATAGGATTTTCATTGTTAAGTATCCTCAAACCTGGTTTTGTTCGGTGTAATAGGAACCGCATAAAAATGCTTAAAAGTATTCTGAAACTTCAAAAGCAGCTATACAATAAATTGTTTGCAACGCATTAACAAAAGGTGAACTGCAAATAGAGACCCATTAAAGAAGTCCATCATATAAAATACTCTCAAAACCTCACGATGTAGCTAGAAAGTGGTTTTCCGATCAAGGCAAAAATTACTTTACATACGGGACATTTTAAAATCTTTTATTTGTTTAAAAATTAAACATTATATGTACGAAAATTTCATAATGCACATATAAAAATTGTTTTATTATTATTATTAAACGTACACAGAAAGTCAGCAACGTGGATTTTATTGTGCAGAACTGGTTTAGAATCACTTTGGCCCCTTGAAGGTGCTACCTCGCACTCGTTCAGAGTTGACATTTTTGATAATATAATCTAGCCAGTCATCAATTTTTGAGACGACGGTTTTTATGATTAGTATCTTTTATACGTCGCGATAACCAGACGTACAAGATCAAAGCTCATACTGGAATTTTAAAATTCTTTTAGAATTAGAATTGGTTGCAAGATAATAAACTTTCCTATTTGCTCCAAAACCCTACAGGTTAGGTGTTATTTTCAGTAACAGAATTGGGTCCTTCCTGGTCATCAGTTCGGATATGTTAAGTAATTTATAATGTCTGTTTGAAATTAATAAATTTTTTAACTTATTTTAATAACTTCGGACGAATGGATATATATTTCACAGAGAAAACCTTTTTAATTAACAACGAACCTATTTATTTAGCATTCTAAACATATCAAAAAGAACATTCCGTGCGCTATCACCCTCAAAGTATATGCAAACAAAACATCATTGTTGCCACAAAAAATCTACATTATAATGAACATATTAAATTATTGTGAATTAATTGAGTTCGTGCACGTTCCTTAATAATGTCACTGCCACTTACGGTATCGCCCTGAACCATTTCGTTAACATCAGTTTCACTGAAAATATCAAAACTTCCACCATCAATGCTATCGCTACGATTTCTGATGATAACACTGAGATGTTTTCGGCTTCTCATCTTCAAGTTTCGTTTCGAATAACCGCTGAAACCTCCGTAATTAAACTGGTGATGTTGTAGAGACATTAGAATTTTTTGGAAGCAAGAGAGATTGAAAAATTAGCAACGCCTTCGCCGGGAATTGAACCGCGAACCTCTGAAACACGCGCTCAGCGTGCAGACCACCACACCACGAAGGCATGCCAAGAAGGCGGGAGAAATACCTTATATACTACCCCTTTTAAAGGGTGACTAAGTCTCCAAATCCTGGGTGTTTAGAATCCTCATCCACCACCTTTTTAGTTCGAGCGCCAGTGTATCCGTTAGGATTTTTGGAAGCAGAAGAGATGAAAAATTAGCAACGTCTTCAACGGGAATCGAACAGCGGACCTCTGGAATACACGCCTAGTGTGCAGACCACCACACCAAGAAGGCGGGAGAAATACCTTATAATGTAATATCAATATTTTGGGGGCATCTGTTGGTTTCGTTTTTAAGCTGCATGTTATTTTTGACTTTCTCGGAGCTTTGTAACTTTCTTTCTGAATTACGATTTTTATTACTTTTTTTATAATGTATTTTAATGTATTTTAATTTTTTTTTTTTTTTTTTTTTTTAAGTATACCGTGTAAAACAAATCGCACGTAAAATTCATATATATATACCCCCTCCTAGAAAAAAAAAAAAAAAAAAAAAAAAAAAAAAAAAAAAAAAAAAAAAAAAAAAAAAAAAAAAAAAGGTTTGAGTGGAGTGTATTTTACCCTGTTGGAGGAATTTTCTCTAGCCTGAAGAGTACATGAAGTATTTAGAAAACTGTTAACGATACTGTCATTTATAGCACTAAGACTACTACTGAAAATCCTGCATCTCATTTTAAGAAAGTGCGATTGAAAATACTGGTCTATCCGATGGTGCAAATGTTAAAATTCGGAGATTTTTAGTTCGTTTGTAAAGGGAAGGCATGGCAAAATATCATTTCAACATTATAAAGCTCTTTTCAAAATTTTTTCCGCTGGGTCTTTTAATCAAGATGCTCTCTCATTTACTACGTCCTTATAGTTTTTCTGTTGAAATTACGATTCATTTTTGTAGTTATTTATTGTTTCAATAGATGGCAGCACAAGAACAAACATTATTATAAGACTATACTTCTTCAATATCTACATCAATTTAACTGGAAATTATTTGAATAGATGCTACGTCGCCAAACAGTGACGTGCATAATAAGTGCTGTGACAGGAACAGAAATAAATTGTTGGCGTGAAAATATCATGTCGTAAACTTTTGGTTTTCAAGAGGAAAGTGTTCATAATATTTTAGACTTATTCTGTGGGTATAATGAAAATTAAGATCTATGGTTCTTTTGTTGTTCTCGGAAGATTTCACGCTGTCGGTGCTATTGGAGACAAGGCAGCAATGTTTAGAACTCATAGCCCAGATGATTTCAGAAGTGATTTTTTAAAGAAGGAAATGCCTATTTTCCTCTCAAATATACTGGTCATTTTCAGAGAGGGAGATCTTCTCAGGAGAGTTTATTTCCATGGGATAGTTTACTAAAAATTGCATATAATAATAATATAGTTTTTAGTAATCGGTCGGAAGATGATTTGCATGCGGAAAGCGATTTGTAATTATTTTCTTTCCTTTTATTATTTTAATGCAACAAATGATTTGAAGTATATAGTTACATCTCCCGCACGCATATAAGCATTCTGTACCTCACCACATGCATAGGGAAAAATCCATCCCCGTGATTGGATACGGCTTCCAATGACATCATTTTCTCTACGCTTAGGAAAGCCTTGACTTTGCTTGGGCTCGAAAATACACCTCCATAACGTTTATTTACATTTTGATAGCAGTACCAAAAAGATTATTATCGTTAATGACGTGTGTTGAATTTTTATTGCGGATTACTCTTATTACGGCACTGTAGTATGATGAATTTAATATAAAAAATATAGTGCTTTTTCTTTTTCATAGAGAAGAAAATCAGTATCGCTAACTCCCTCAATGTAATTATGTATTAATATTATGTGCAGAGGTTTTTAATAAATGTATTCTTATTTTAAAAGAATTCATATTAAAGGTTTTGTGATTATTAATTTATTGATTCATGTTTATTCAATATGGATTCTTTGCAGATTCAATCTCCGAAAGCAAGAGGCAAATCAGTTTTCACAAACAGCAAAAACGTTAGGAGCTAACATAATACACAGTAAATTCACGATATTTTGTAGTCAGTCTCAAAAATTAAAATTTATTTTTGAAGGTAGACTACTATAGATTTGGAACACAGGAATACAGATAACTATGTATAAATTGAATATTTCCCCTAAATCTGTACTTTATGAATACTGCCTATTTTTTAATGTATAATATACGATTTGTATTTGTACCTTTGCATAAAAATAGTGTTATCAGAGAAGAAAGTTTTTTATATACGTGTATTCAGCGAATATACTGAATGCGTTTTTTTCTTTCATTTAAGGCAACGGAATATTAGAAGTGATAAAGACGTGGACCTTAACATGGAAATAACATGTACAATTGCAAAGGAAATATTTTCTGCAATGTGAAAGGAACAGAATGCGACAAAATTTCAATCATGATATACTTACTAGCACATATGCCTTTATATTTGAGTCGAGATCGTCGTGTAATTTAATGTGCTTTGCACTAAATTTATGACAGTTATTTACATAATCTAAGCATTTGAGATTGCTTCTGATATTAACATCATCTTTGAAGGCATTTATAATTTTATTATTCCATAAGCAAGATGTCATCCACATATCAATTTTTACGTCAATCACAAGTACGGATTTTTTCCTATGCGCGTGGCGCAGTACAGAATGCTTATATGCCTCCCGCACTCATCACAGTGGTAACAGAATAAATCAATGTAGCATAATTACCACAGAGCCATATGCTACAACTGATTTTATACAGATGTGAGTTATGAGTCATGCCTTTTCGGGATTCGTACCTGGGCCCTACTGTTTCGTAGTCGAGTGCCCTCACCACTATACGCATGTTTGTAAACTACGTGGTCTGTCTGCTAATTTTTTATATTTTCCATTATATGCACTAAAAAAGAAAATTAATGTATAAATGAAATCCCGTCAGCTCAGTTTCAGTTATTTTGTAATATGCAGTTGAATACTCTGTTAGCCGAAGTAAATGGGATCGTGATCATCTCGGATGATTCGAAAACTCAGTTACTAGTGACTAAATTTTATAGTATGTCAGTTTTTCTTTCGACGAGGTTTCCAGAAACTGTTTATTAAAAATTTTAAAAATAAGAGTACGCAAGCACTACTATCAATATTTTAAGAAACACTTTTAATACTAGGTAAAATGTGTTTCTTTAAATTAAAAAATAATCCACACAAAATTTTATTTCCTGAAGAAACTGAAATAAATAAACTTCATCAAAGTTTACGCAAATTGTAAAAATTTGTCAAATTTTCGACTTGCATTTTTATGAGATATTAATTTTGTTTTCGAAAAGGTCTCTTTTTGATAATCCCTTTCTTTGTGACAGTTTTATTCTCTGACAACTTACTCATGATCATAACAGTATTTGATTAATAAAAGACTCGTAAGAGAAGCATCAAGTTATTACTCTAAATATATTAAAAAAATATTAAAATTTCAGCGACCACTGGTAGCCATGCACTAAAAATCGCTGAACGTTGGTAGTTCGGTCCTGGTTTAAATTTCTCCAAACGAGCGGCCTGCATGAGAGTTTTCCTAGATTGCAAACTACTTTCATTTAAACTGTTCCCCAT